AACCTTTTTTTTTTTTTTTTTTTTTTTTTTTTTTGTACTGGGGATCGAACTCAGGACACTGCACTTGTGGGGCAGGCGACAGCGCCACAGAGCTAAATCCCCGGCCCAAAACCATTTTCCTTTTCAAACAAAAGTTAAGCTATTAACTAAAAATATGCTAAAGGTACCCAGGAGATCTACATTTAAAGAACACTCCTGTGGCCAGAGCAGAGGGCTAAGCACTCTGTGTGTGCCTTCGGGCCTGGCCTACTGATACCTTCACACAGTTACTTCTGGCACACAGGGATCGTTTTCCTTTGTCATTCAGAGAAGAGCAGCTCAGCAACTCTTCTGCAGGCTCTGAAGGAGACTGAGTGCTATGTCCCTATTAGACTACATTCCCTAAGTTTTCTCTATTAAAGACAAAGTATTTTCTACAGTAAAACAAACAAAAGCTATGTGCAGTAAAACAATGAGCAATTGTGAAATGCAGCTTCAGGTAAGGTTTCAAATCATTAAGGGACACCAGCCACTCTCTCATTAGTACGTTAGGAAAGTTTTTATAGCACTCTTTCAAAGATTAATTTGCAGAGTTTCAGTTTGGAAAGAGGAAAAGTTATGGGAATGCACACAGCAACGTGACTACACTTCATGCCACCCAAATGGACACTTAAAAATAGCTAAAATACCAAAAGTTGTATGTAAATGCCACCAATTAAAATTTACTCATTCTAATTATTCATAGTGAAATATACATAATTTAAAATTAATTTGCACCTCCTGCCCACCTTGTAATTTTCCACTGGGTCTTACAGTTTTGTTCCACTTTGTACCCGCCTCACCACATGGCTTTGCTGTATAAAACATCCTTGAAAAGTGGGGTGGGTGGAAAACCCACTTTCTGGTCCCCCTTCTGTATGTCTTAGAAGCTTTCTTTCTCGCAATAAATTTTTCTACTCTTAAAAAAATAAACTGGATAACTTAAAAAAAATTTTTTTTCAGTTTTAGCAATTTGCAACCAAAGCACCAGAACTTTCTCCAAAGGTTCCCATAAACCTGTTCACTTTTTGGCGTGACAGGACTTACTGAGCTTCAGAATCACATTCATTTTCGTATTCAGAACGGTATTTAATCAACTAAAAGCAGCAGTAATGGCGTGGTCAGACCAGCAGCATCGATGCCAACTCTCATACCGCTCATGTCACCTTAAGAAATGTCTCTTAAACCAGGCACGGTGTCGCATGCCTGTAATCCCAGCACTCGGGAGGCTGAGGCAGGAGGATCGCTGTCGAGCCTGGGCTACATAGTGAATTCCAGGTCAGTCTCAACTACATTGTGAGACCCTGTCTCAAAAAACCGAAAAATGAGAAAGAAATGTCTCTTAGTTGTCTTAGGTACTTAATAAACGGACTACATTGTTTGGTGTGTTTGTGCAATGTTTCCGTTTTAAAATTATCTTCATATTAATAATTCAGAAAATAATAAAGCAAAATGGACGATCGTATCACATAAACAGCTTAGTTCCAAGCGACTAATAATCGTAATAAATGTAATTAACATCACTAAAGATCCAGGGGGTAAAAGTGAAGTGGAAATTTTTTTTTAAATTATCTGGGATTCAGTCTGAACCTGATGAATACTTGAGATTCATCAAGGATTGAGATACTATTTTTAACTGAACTTCCTGGCCTTGGGTCAAAGTTTTGCTTAGCTAAATACCAAAGTGAAAATGCTGGAAGTGAAGGCCAGACTGTTTTAGCCGGAAACACTGCGCTCCAGGCAACCAATCCAATTCTCAATTAAAAGATTTCAGGGTGCCATGCTCTCCGTGAGAAAACACCACCACCTTAACTGAAACATCTGCAAAATACAATACTTCTTCCATTCGGATACAATTCCGCACATCACTACATTCTACACACCTTCCGGAAAGACACACACTCTCCACTCTGTTCCTGTATTTTAGCCAGACAGGACTGAGTCACTGAGGGTTCCAGAAACCTCAAAGGCTAACAACGGCTTCAAAAGAGAAGTCAGGCACTGGCCAGGGAAGACAGTTTTCTCATCCGAGTCACCAGGTTTCTCCCAGCAGGACCCAGGACTTAACATCGCGTCCTTGGCACAGAAGGTGCGATCGCAGAGTTCGCTTAGTAGCCAGAGGACTCCTTGGGCTCTCTTCTCCCCGGGGTAGAAGTCCACACCACCTTTTCCTATCGCTAACATCTCCCCTGCACGCTATCAAACTGTCTTGCGAAAGGCAATTGTCAACGCTAAGAAAAATAAGAAATATGCCGGCACTCCGCAGTGCATTTCCTTGAAAAATGCGTTCCCCCTTAATCAAGAGCCACAAGCTGCCTTTAGGTGACTATGAATCTGGATTTCTAAGGGCGTCGTAGGAAAGATAAGATACAGGGGACAGATTATTCCACTCAGATTTTTGGGGGGGCCTCTGGCGCAACAATCTCGGGAAAATTCAGTTTACATAAATTAAATGCACTAAATACCTACGCAGGAATGCTCGGAGGCAACAGAAAACGGCAAAACCTTAGCCAGGGGCTCAAGATTCCCCACTAAAAGGTGGGCGCAGCGCTTTGTCGGGCACCTGCTCGCTCCCGGGCAGCGTGACACTCTGCAACCTCGGCTCCTCTGCCAGGGAAGCAGGGCCAGGACTCCGCGTTTCCTCCCCACACCTGCGGGTAGGCGGGAAGGAGGCGCGGGGTACTGCCTTGCAGAGAAGTGGGTGACCCGGGACCGGGTCGGGAGGATCCGCGCCAGGAAGGCGGTCAGGGGCCGGGAGGGCAGCGGGGACCCGGCCGCCACCTACCAGCAGGCTGTCCACGTTGATGG